ATTTTTTATAAAAATATATTTTTAATAATATTATATATGAATTTCTAGTATAATTCCCCCCTAATGTTCATTAAATACATATTTATAAAGCAAAATTATCAGAACATATTATATTTAATGTTTAATGCAAATATTCCTTATGAATTACTTAATTTTTTTTTTTTTGATAATTAGATTTAATAATCAAAATAGCTATATGCAAATTGGACATGTTTCTCTCTTGCAGCTGCAGGCCCTAGTAGTACCCTTTGTAATTTTTCATTTATCATCTTCCTTTTCTTTCTTTTTTTCTTAGTAAAAATAATTCTAAAATGTGTATACTACAAAAAAATAAAAGTTCATAAAAATACAATATTATTATTTATAATAATCCCAAATATAAAAAGAATTCCTTTAATGCATAAAATATTAGTTTACTTTTATAATAAGCATTAATATCAAAATTATTGCCAGGGGAACTAATACCATAATGATATATTTTTTATATATTATCTCATGGTTATACATGTTCTGTTCATCTAATGGAACAACACTTTCTGTATCATATTTATTATTAGATTCTCTAATTCCATGTTCATTGTTCAATGCATTTATTCCAGTAGACACATAACCATTAGTTGTACCTATAATTATATTAATTATTGAGTCATTTTTACTAGAATATGAAATATCGTACTCAAATTTTGTTATCCATGCATATACACTCCATTCTATATCAATCTTATATTTTTAATAGGAGATGAAATTTAACTCCCTTTAGAAGTTTTCTAAACTTGTTTATGTTTACCTTTAGAGTAATTCAATTTTGTGCCCTTATGTTGATTATTCTGTTATAAATCTGTTTCCTGACTTAATATATTAATATCATCTTTTTCGCGTTTATCGCTTGGATTCTTTTCTCGAGGTACATAATAAACATTTTTTATTTCATTGGTACTTGTAGCGCCCGCATCACTATCTTCATGTATTTTTGCAAAAGAAATTTCATTAACATAACGATTTTTATTTCCATGCCATACAAAATTGAATTCTAGGTTTGAAGAAAAGAGCAAAATAAAATTTTTATTTTTTTAAATCCATTAAAAACGAAACGAAGTGTCAGCATAATAAGGAAGTGATTTATCTGCAGGATATTTTAAATGACAGTTTACAGAATTATTTTTCGTTTTACCAGGTAAAATACTAAAATTAGTTATACTACCAAGAGTTTTACTAACAGTAATTATCCCAGGATCAGTACTGTTAACATTAAGGTTATCACCGTGTGCACTTATATTTTTATGGGGTACATTAAGAGCAACTAATTCTTCAGTACCTTTGATACCAGCGTCCTGACCACTAACAACATCATTATCATCAAGTCCACCACCAGAAACTTCTTCATCATCACTTTTACGATTGACATCTTGAGCTCGCGTAACTTTTTCATGAGCATCTTCATGTACATGAGATAATAGACTATTCCCCTTGTCATTAGAAGTAACATCCTTGGAAATGTTCCTACCAACAATTGCATCATCACTCTCTGAATGCATAGCCGATATACGATCAACGTCTGATTGACTAGGTTCTATATCATTAGTGTCCAGCGAATTAGTAGTTTGATGAACAGATTCTCCATTATGAAGTATTACGGAAGGCACAAATTGTGTGTCAACAACAGATATATCATCAGATATATCTGTATCACCATTCTGAACGACAGGGTCCTGGGTGATAGCACTGTTTCCATCAGTATTTTGAGAATCAGCTAAATTATTTTTAATTGTATTATGATCCAGAATATTTTTTTCCAGTTCACTATCTACATCAGTTTGCTTAGTAACGTTTAGTTCTGAAGGTTCTGAATTTGCCTTGTTATGAAATTGTGTTCCCGTCAAATGATCTAAGATATAAACAGATTGTGTTGAACTATCTGCACTCACAGGTTCACTTGAATGTTGTTTAGGTATAAATTTAGATCCTTCATTTTTACTTACATTAGGATTAGTGATAGGATATACTTGATCTGCGGTCTGTGAGACTTTGCTTTGTTGAACCGATTCTTCCACATTAGAATGTCTTTCATTTTTATCTTGTAAAAATATTTTTCCTGGTTTTGTTTCAATAATTCCTTCATCATGTGGTTCAGTATTTCTATCACAATTATGCTTATTGGAACATCTTTCTATAAATCTCTTTATGTTATCTTCATTGTATAAATCAAAAAGCGCATACTCTTCCGTATAACTCTCCTTTAAATCATCTATTATTTTTTTTGTATATTCATTTATTTGTTCACACGCATTGCAGATATTGACATCCCTTTTTTTTTCTAAATTATTAATTTTTTCTTGTATATCATCCAAGTAATTATAATATTTCTCTGCGAACTCATCAAACTTAGACTGGAGGCTCCCGCCATTAGTGCTAATAGTTATATATGTCATATTCAATGTATTATTTTTTATTATATCTTTTTTACATTTTACTCCATTAAAATAAATAATTTAATAAAATAAAATATGCATATGAGTAGAAATATTTGATATAGATAATTTAATGTTTTAATGTCACTCCATTATATTATCACAATTAGGAAAATAAAAACATTTATACATAGAACTTCTGTAAATTAATTTGTTTAACATATCATAAGAATACATAAAAATGAACTTATGGATTTCTTGTACTAACGTTTTCATTGAATTATATAGAAGGATAACTATAAAATTATTGAATTCGGAATTGGTTGTTTAAGGAATTTGTAATATCTAATGTGTTATATTAATGTATCATGTATCTAGATATACCCAAATGATAATATTAGAAATTAAATTATGATAATCTATGTATAAGGATATAAAGTTTACATAAACTGCACACAAAATATATATATAAAAATAATAAATGTTGATAGAGTTCATTTAATTCACAGAAATAAATGAAATAAAACTAGCTCTGGAAAATATTATTTATACATATTTTTATACTTCATTTCATTTCAATAGATAGGGAGCTCATTCATTTATTGTTATCTACGTATCCTGTTATAACGTTTTCATTTATAGATGATGGAATAATATATTTCTTAGAAAATGTGCTATTAGTAAAAGGGAATGCAGCTATATTTTGATTTCAAATAATATTCTAGTGCTTACACATATACTCCATTATTATGGCAATTACTTATTATAAGTTTTATAATATAGCTTATATAGACAAAGCATAAATAATGTATAAATTTCAAGCAGTTTTATTATATCATTATAAGAATAATTTTCAATTAAAATGACTCTTAAAACTGAAACAATGTTACAATCGTAATAGCATGAAAATTATCAATTTATATTTTATTTGTGTATATATGTTCCATCGAATTTTCCAGAAATGTCTTGTTTCGCTTATGATCTTTTAATACATATAAGTGTATTTTTTCTTTTCCAAAACATTAATTTTATTTCAGATATAATAAAAAAATAATAAGGTATGTCTAATAAAAAAAGTTAATATTATTAGTAATTGATAAACAAATATTTAAAATCCATTATTGAGAGCTTTTCAAAATGGCTAATACATATGTTCGGAAAATTTCTAAGGTATTTGTGTTAAAAAATATAAAAAAAATACGATATATATTTCTCATATAGAATGCTAATAAAATGTGTGATATATAAAATATTAATTCATAAGGGGTGTTCGTATTTTATAATTTCATTATCTCAAAAATTTTCTTGGAAATTTTTCATTTAATAAAATATATTTAAATGATTATTAATTTATAGTGTTATAGGTAAGAACACATTGCACTTATGTCTGAAGCAAAAAATTTATATTTTTTTTATTGGACACACAAATTTTTTATATTAAAATAATATAAAGTAGATTTAGAGTATATATAAAATATATATAATACAGTATATTTACAAATATATAAGTATAAATTCTTTATATGTACAATTACATGCTTCACTGAAGGGGCACACTTTGATTCCTTACGTTTTCATTTATAAGTTCACTAGGAATTATTCTATTAATTTAATATCATTTCCATAGTTTTCCTATTTATGTGAAGTTATTAATAATAATTATGAACTATAACATCTTGAACTAATTATCTAAACGAACATATCTTATAGTTCAAAATGGGAATAACTACTATCGCGTATTGTAGATTCTACATATATTAGTTGATATTTCAACCCATTGATTTTATTATTATATTATTGATTATATTCCTAATAAACTTATTCCTTTTTTTCTTGGTGTCTATATTTTGTATAATGGAATACTTATTATAATTTTCTAAAAAGTTATTATTTTACTATAATGTGTTAGCTGCAGGCAGCAAAAATAATAATGCCTGAAATATTTAGTCATAATTACTATTCAATTCAATGTAGCATATCAATAATAATTCACTGTTTTTTCTTTCCTATATATTCATTACAAATTATATGACGTAAATATATTCCTTTTATATTTGTTATTCGTATGAATCGTCTTTAAGCTGGCTTGTTTGTTCACATAATACAAAAACAAGCTTATCAATACTTTACGCGTCTTTTTACGTATTTTTTAGGTTTTCATAGGTATCTATTAATTTTAAGATTTTATGGTCATTTTATACATTACATAAATTTTTTGATTCAGAATTATCTTTAATTTATAATTGGACACTTATAATTTTTAACATGACACAGAAGTATTTAAAATAAGTGTTATCAGTTATAAATAACTTAATTTATTACACTATATCATGAAGTACAGAGATTTTTCGTTTTTTTCATAGAATATTTAACATTTTGTCACTCCTGTCAAAACTTCTTATAATATGAATTGTAATATACTTTGCCAAAAATATTAAATGTTATCGTATATTTTTATGCACAATTTTGAGCTAATTATTTTTTCTGTATGAAATTTAATTTTGTAAGATCATCCGAAAGATCTATGGTACCTAATATTGAGGGATTGACTTTTTTTTTTAAAAATTTGTATATATATCTTATCAGTTATTACAATGAATTTATATTTGTCTTTTCATTGCTACATTAATTATTTGCACAAAAAAATATATTGTGACATGATAAAAATCACAAAACCAATTCACAATAGAATAATATGAAAAATTAAATAAATAAATATATATATATATATATATATGTGTTAAGAAACTTGGAATAATAAAATGTGTTTTGTTGGAGTATTTTTTAATCTTATGTTCAGAGCATAAATACATATTAGATTATAAATATAAAACACAAAATTGCAATAACATGTTACTTAAAATTGCTTATGCACATGAGAAGTGAAAAAAAAACATTTATTGTATGCTGCATTTATGTATTTATGGAGCTAAAATATTTCAAATTCTTTACAATATTTATATTGTATTGTATAATTCACACCGTAATGTGTACTTTTCATTAAGACTTCACTTTAATAAAAGAAACGTTAGAATTTATATTTTACTATTTTTTTTAAATAATGTATATTTATCACTTTTATGGTTATTTGAAAGATAAACAAATAAAATATATAAAAGATTCTAATTTCAAGATATATTTGTTTTAATCCAAATTAAACGCCCCTTTAATTGCAATATATAAGAGATTTTGTATCATAGTGACTCTTCAAATTTACCTTTTTGTTAATATAAATCTGCTTTGCTTTTTTTTTTTATGCCTTTTAATAAAATAAAATGTTATTTTTTATTTCCAAGTGATTTCTCACCAGCGTTTATATGTGTATAGAAAAATGTTATAATTCAAAGGTTATTTTATTGCATGTTGAAAAATAAGCATTGGAATCATTTTTTTTTCCAAGTATACAAAATTTAAGAAAATCGAGTTGTATAGCCTTTATTATGAAATGTCATAGTGTCGAGTGATACTCCCATTGAATAGATAATATTTTGTAATATACGCAATGTTTTTTATGTAGTAAACGTGATTAAATTACCCCATATAATATTTATGTTTTTAACGCATATTTATTTGTTTTATGGAAACTTTAAATTTTTAATACGTCTATTTAGAAAAATAAATAATTGAAGTTAATTAAACCTCACAAAAGTTGATAGAATAATAAAAAGAAATACCCCTTTTTAGTGTAAAAGGAAAGGTATCATTTATCCTCTTAAAGTATGCTTATGATTATAATAAGATATTAAAATAAACGTTATATGATAAGACAGATGCTGAATAAAGACATGAGAACATTGTATTTATGTAATGCGGAATTAGGAATGATTTGTTTCATTGTGTATTGCTAATATAGTTACATAATATTATATTATATTTATATTTTGCAGGAGAATAATTGTCCAAATAAATTTATAAATAATTAAAAAATTTAATGTTTTAGGGTTCTGATAGAGGCACATAATAGATTGTTGTTAATTAAAAAAAGCTCATATTTATAAGTTATTTCGTACCACTTATAATTAATTTATAATGTTGAATAATATGTAAATTCATTATTCTGTATTATATTCCATTAGTAAATAATTGCACTTGTATGTTCATTATTATTTAATGTAGCTATCTTATGTTAAGATAGGGTAATAATATTATATAATATAAATTGGATATAATCACCTTTTTAATATATATATAGACAAGTATATAAGTATTGTGTATAATTTTAAAAACACTTGAAGGCTTTATTTTTAAAGGGAGTTTATTTTTATATAACTCCATCTATATTCTTTTATTATTTTGTAAAGTAAATAATTTCTAAATTTACATATATGTAAAAAATATGAAGAATTTGATAATATGCATATTGTAAATTATGATACTGATGACTTAGAAAACTTTCACCAAGACTATAATGCGTTGTGATAAAAGAATGAAAATAATTTTAAAGAATTGTTCGTTAAACAAGAAAAATAATAAATAAATAGATGTTATTAATTTAATCAAATGTCTATGTTCAGATGAGGAAAGAGTATTACAATGTAAATAAATAAAATATAGATGTTTTCTTGATAAAACTTTTTATTTAGTAGAGGAATTAATTAGACACAAGTATGATGATATCCAGTGAATGCTATGATTAAGGCATTTCATATTAGCGGAAACCATAGAACAATTTACATGAGCATTTTGATAATTTTTAGTATATTAAGAGCAATAATTGTAATAAAAGTAGCATTGAATTGCATTTAATTTATGTTAGTTTTATTGAACCTATTTCTAGGATATACTATGATAGTCATAGTACTCGTTGTATTTTTGAAACAGTTGATTTCCATTACGAACCTAATGTTATTAATAGAAAAAATATTATCCAATTGATCTATTGACTGTTTTAAAGTAATTATATTAAAAATTATATGTAGATGAGGACAAAACATAGAAAAATATAGGAATTAGAAAGGATGTGAAAAATGTGGTTCCTAATAAAATAAATAGAATCCCACAGAAAATTATTGATAAAGAAGAACACCCATTCATTATTCTAATATGTATACGGAGTGAAATAGTGTATGATACTGTCATTAATATGCAAATACATAATAACTTATTAAATTCTTATTTTTTTTCATAGTTTCGTTGTAGTTATAACAATATAAAGAACAAGTTTCCTCTTATACATTATCCAGCATTTAACTATAAAGTATAATTTAGTATGTAATTATTATATGTTAATATATTTTTTAATATATTTATATTTTGTTTATATTTATAAAATAAGTTTATTTCCTTCTTTTTACATACTAGTTTACATAACAATGATCAAGTTTATGTAAAATGGGAACAAATATAATAAAATTAAAGAATATACAAAATAAGATATCAGAAATGCAATTATTATAATATGATCAAGAATCTATATTCATAGGTTCTCACGCAGCACAATCTTATTTGGCTTATTATTCTGCACAGAATTATTTTTTGTAATTGATCCATTAATACAAAATGATTTAAATTTCTTGTATAAATATAAATATTGATACAGTTGTGTTAATAAGCTATAATAAGAGGGAAAAGATAAGAGAAACGAAAAAACAATGAAACATATGTATTACAAAAATAAGATGCAAGAATTATAGCCCCTAAATGTGAAAATTAATTCATATGAGCAATTAATAAATGTATAACACGAAGTGAAATTTTTTTTATAATAAATTAATTTATAGTGGTATACTTTTGATGAAGATTATCATAATTAAAAACTTAAGAATATATGGCAATTGCCTTATGAATTATTAAAAGTAAAGATGTGTACTTAAACTAGGAAAATAAAATATGTAATGAAATTGGAAACTACAGATATATCATTTAGGTAGATTGATATAAAATTATATTGCTCCAGTAATGACGTAGTAAATTATCATAATTATATGATGAGAAGCTATAAAATATTTAATACAATTAAGTAAACTAAGAAACAAAATATAAATAGATGCTCACTAAAATATTATCAGATCTGTAATAATGTTTCAACAAAAAATATATATAGAAAAATGTATTAGAAATTATATATCTTATTATGGTATGTTATATTCAGTTAATTTAATGAATATATGTGTTAAAGTTAAAAAATTGTCATATATAACATTACTAGATTTTATCTGTATCTAAAATAATATTAAATTCTAAGAAAATTAATGATTATGTTATACCATCATGATTCAGCTGATACACCAATTTAATAAATGTATATAAATTTAATTTATACCTAATTAAAACCTTAAAAAAATAAATTTATATATATTTTTAGTGTTCTTGTATGTACAGTGCAACTTATAATTGGATTATACAAATTACAAACATTAAGATCATTAATTAAAAAACAGGGTAAAAATAGATTACAACAAAAAAACTGAGCATGGTGAATAGAAAAAATAAAACAAATAAGTGATATGTTGTAATGAAGTTATTCTGTGTAATAACAAAACTTATGTATAATAAAATTTCAGACATTAAAATTGTAAATTAGTTAGTACAAAATACACTTAATAAAAAAATATTTTGTAACATTTATAAAAATAATTAAAACGCAATATTAATCATTAATATATGTACATAATGATTTTAAAGGTCTTTTAAACATTATTATATCATGGAATAACATGATCCCTTTAGAATAAATTTATATTTTTATTTACTATCATTACAGTTTGTAATTAGTATATAATTATTATTATATAGTGGATAGTACTTTCTTTCAATTCGTCCTAAAAATAATTCATTAACACGAATGATAGCATATATATCAATAAGCACTTTATAATTATTCATAAGTTTTTTCTTCAATACTTATACTGTTACATAATAAATTTTTGTAAAAATATCTTATTAAATTGATAAATTAGCATCAACATTTTCTTTAAATTGTTTCATAAATTTTATGTTTTTTTACGAGCTATTTAATTTAAGCAATTTTCATATAATTTGCTATCCTCATTACATTAGTTCTTTATCATAATATTTTGCTCATATTATACGTTTGATCCTAAAATTATGTAGAATTATATAGTATATTATACATGCTATTTTCTAAGGCCCTATTGTATATTTTTAAAGGTTTCAACATTTTCCACTCTTTATTCATCATACTGTATTTATTTTTTATAGTTCTTATTACGCAATGAACGTGTGAATTGTAGGGGATGAACTAATTCGTAATGAAAATATATTTATATATTGAGAAAATTTTTTTTTTTAATAAATATTTTTCTTTTGTTTTTTTTCTATTATTTAAATGTATTACATTATTGTACAAATATATATAATAACATATTAATTAACCTTATAAATAATAAATAGTAAAGGAGGTATTAGTAATATAACAATAGTTAGCATTATAATCTTAACTGATTTACTAGATTTATGTGTGTCCACCACTTGTTTGTTAATTTTTAATGAATCCAACATTGTATATTTGGTTTTATCACAATTTATCGTTAAATTTGGTATACTATTATATAGATTATAAATATTTTCTAATTCATTACAATAAAGGGTATTACTACTGTATTCACATGTATTATATTTTTGCATGTATAAATCATAACATTTCTGGGCATAATTGCATCTATCGTTTATATCGGAAAATGATATATTTTTGATTTTTATATTATACAACTTAACATTCAAATCACATATGTCCATCATATCCTTCCATCCTTTGTCGAAAATATTTACCTCTGGATTTGGTTTTAATAATTTACCCATATCAGTTTTATAATATTCATTTATGAATTCATTATAAATTTCTTTGATATAGTTATTATCTTTCTCAGATATGAGGTAATTCTTATATAACCAATAATACATATACAGCAATCCTTTTTTTATTCTTAATGTGTTACCAATTTCATCATGTATTTCAAATAAATACTGTACCAATTTATCGCATATTTCTTCTATAACATCAAAATATTTAAGGTTTCCCCTTTTTGCTCTAATTTGATTCGAATATGCGTTGTATGTAACATAAGATTTATAATCTCGATCCATAATTTTTTTATATTCAGGGAAATATAAATCTAAGGATTCAAACTACGAATAAGAAAATAATAATGAAATTACATAAATTATTTAATTAAATTTTTTTTTTTAAAATATACATGAAGAAGGAAATTATTAAATAATAGCTTATAATCTAAATTATACCAATTAGAGCGTACAATTTTTTCCCCCATCTCAGATAATGTTATACTCTTTTAAAGGCTAATATTAAATATATAAAAATTAAATGAGTAAATATATATATTTATTTATATATATAAATATTTTCTTTACCATAGATACAATTTTACAATTCATATCAAAGTGCCACACTATAATTTGTTAATTTATTATTATAGAACAAAAAATGGGTTAGTAATAATTTGTGATACATAATATTTTCTTCTAATTATTTTAAATAAAAAAGAAAATTCATAAATATGTTATAAAGAAAAAATATATTAAAGTTTGTGAAAATATAAATAAATTTTATAAATGTTTAATAATACACTCATATAATAAAAAGGATAAAATATTAATATTGTATATTATTTTGAATTTATTTATTTGCTCTTTTAACTTTTATGTTATATAATAGTATCCATAATTCAAAGCGAAAAATATGAAATATATAATAATTTGTATTAATCTTTTACTAATTTTATTACTATTGTATAAAAAATGATAAAAGGTTAATTGTTCAAATTATCGCATTTAACACGTATTATTACTAAATAGCATAGCGTTTGTGCATTAACGATTAAATATTTTATAATATTTAAAATGTTGTTTAATAAGAATTTTAAAAAATATTATATGTATGAATGTATATTATGTGCTTATATTTATTATAGTTAGTTATAATACATAATTAAGGTTTGCTCTAAAGAACGAGAACTATTTTACCAATCATATGCAATACAATAAATATTATTATGCTTACAATATTATGCTACATGAGCTTGTATGATTTATTCTGTCACATAATATTAATCATTAATAATATAACATCTCTTTATTTACAAAATTATAAGATTTAAAATATTATGAATATTTTTGTTCTTCACACAAATGTTAATAAGAAATAAATTTGTGTTTGTTAAAACGATATTAAATTTATTTATTTTCTTTTGTTTTTTATTGCTCCCATTAGGATTATATTTTAAAATATAACAAAAGTTATTATTTCAAATGTGATATAATAATACATTATATAAATATTCTATTTCATATGAAAATAGCTATAGTTTTGTGAAGTATATCATGATTTATTAGACGAGCATTATTTTTATCAATTCTCTTTAAAACATAAATTTCACTTATTAATTTGAATTGCACATACAATATAAAACGTATATTACGTAATATAAAATACATAAATAAATTGTATAATAGAACTTAATAACTAATACAAATTCTATTTTTTATTAATGTATATATTAAAAGAATAATTGCACTAATAACGTATAAAATAATATTAAAAAAATTTCTCCATTTGTTAATTATGATAACGCAGAAGATTAATAGAAATTGTTAAATTTCTATAATCCTAATTAGCATAATATTTATGCTACATAGTATTAATGGTATGAAATATATCTTTATTTCATTATAAATTTTATGGTTAATCCTATCTTAATTGGTAAAAAGTAAAATGTTGAATCAATAAATTTACTATTATAACAATTAATTATATTAAATATTGTTATAAAGACATGCAAAGAAAGAAATATATTATATTCATATAGAGTATATTTTTGTGATACGCATATAAATTTCACATATTTACTCATTATATATAAATGTTAAGGGGAAACAATGTAATACAAACATGAAATTTATTTAAAAAATAGTATACATAATATTATTACACATAAAGGTGTATGCATTTAAAAAATATTGTACTAAAAAAAAAATTAAATAATAATAGAACAATAGTCTACAATAATGATTAAGTAAAATAAAATATAAAAGATATTTTAAATGAATAAAAATATATCATTCCGTTGAATTACCATATTTTTAATTAGTATCATTATATATATAACAAAATATTTCTATTTTAAGTATGTATGTATGTTGTTGCAAGTTAAATTATATGCAATAATACCTGACTTATTTCCATGTGTTTTGGTAAAAAATATAATTTATCATATTTTCTGTATAATAAAAGACATTTTAAAAAAATTTATAATTAATCTTGAATATTAAAATATCAGTTTTTGTAGGAGTATTTTTTGATTCTCATTTTCTTATATATTTAAAAATTAACAAATAAATAATATTATATGAAAATCCAGTTATACAATTTCATTACTAGAATTTATACTTTAATAATTTATTTAGAAATATGCTCAAAATACTACTAAGCGATGTATATTTATACATACTATATGTATTGTGTTATAATATATTATACTATAAAAATTTATATATTATATGTTGTGCCTATAATACATACAAAATCTGAAACCTTTTTTATTTTAAATTAATAAGTACGTCCAGAGGAATATATTTTTTTGTAGAGTTGTTTAACAAGAGTTGCAAATAGAATAATATTTATTTTAAATAATTAAGAAAATAGTTATATATGTTTCCATTTCTATCATGAATGTTGAAATATTTTTAAAATGTTACATTATAGTGCTTTAAAATATTGATACATAGTATAAGTATGACACTCTTAATTGTATTTATGAGTATAATAATAAATGTTATATGAATTCCTCATTAAATATGGGGTTAGAAGTTTAAATCTATATAAATATATTGTTAACTGTGGTTTTAATACATTTAATTTTTCGATTAATTTGTAATATATATAAAAATATAAATAATGTTTAATAAAAAAACATTATGTAGACAAATATATTCATTGTATTATACGTTTTATAAATAAATCTATGCAAATAAATAACATCATAAAATAATTTTTTATATTATATATTATTTTATAGATTTACCTCCTATAATATTAATGTTAATTCGAGTTCATGTTTATATTTTATCTTGTATTAAAAATTTTATAGAAACTATATTATTAAAACATAAATTCATATTTCACATCAGATACATTAAATGAATAAATGACTTAATTTAATATATATATATAATTTAGTTTTGTAATATTTTTCCCTTATTTACTTATCTTTATTGTGACCAAAACATTTATATCTATTTATTAGTACTAATAATTTAGTCTGATATATAGTATATTTAAATTTATAACTCTTTATGCATATTACTGACATTATTGAATAAAAATTCTACAATATAAATAAAATCATACTAGTCCATTTAAAGAAAAAGAAATGATTTTTAAATATGAATATATATTGTTTACATTGTAATTATAAGCATATATAACGTTTATCATTATATCATTATGATGCAAATTTTGATATCTATATATAATAGCAAATATCTAATCATATACACTTATATTTTTATCATTTATATAATATTATATATATTAGAGTGAATCAAATTATACATATAATGTATTCTATATTCGTAATTATGTAAAATGTTAACAGTGACATATTGAATTACACATGAAAAATTTGAGACACTTTATGCTTGTTTATATATACCTTTAGAATTCCTATAATAAATAACCAAAAACACATTTTTTGCGTTTTTTAATTATAATATAATATGGAAAAATGAAAATTAATAAGGAAAATGTAATATGATATGTTATATTACCACGAACATAAATAACACATATTATATATAATAATAATATGGTTATCTATAGGAACTTAGTGATACCTTTAATTATTTTGGATTTTTCGTAATTGAAAAAATATGGCTTCATAATTACATAAATGATATTTTCATGACTAATAATGTTTATTTTATAATTAAATGTAGCCAAATAATAAAAGCAATAGGAATAATTATTATAAATTGTAGAAGAGCTAAACATATATGTATGTATCGAAAACATTACTTATTAAATTTCAGTTCAATGATTATTACAGTATATTCACACAAATAAAAATTTATAAAAAAATTATATAAAAAAAATATATATGCATAATATATATAACTAAAGAGAATTATATATGTCTTCAAGCGTATGTAGCTATAAAATATAGAGAAATACTAATTCACTTTTCAGGTAAAAAATAGAAGTTTCGAAAAAGAAATTTGAAAATGATATTCAAAAAAATATATTTTTTATATTTATTGATGTTAGATATTTTATGAAATTGTTCTTATTTTTTTTTGCAATACTATGATTGTCAACAGTGAATTATATTTTATTGAATAATTTGAATAAATAGAATCCTATTCACAAAAAACATTTAATATTTGTTTTCTAACTGATTAATTCATATTTTTATTATTTAACTACTTCAATTCTAAGGGGTCATCTAGTATTTGATATACACTTTGATATTTACGTGCAATGTAGCTTAAATGACCTAATTATTTTTACTAATGCGAATTTTTGATACAATACTAATATTTACTTTGACATATCTTTTGGTATTATTATATTATAATTTGATGAAATACATTCATTATATAAATAATATAACGAATATTCGAATTAGCATTAAAAATGTTCCCTCACGTACCTTTAAAAAATCAATTAAATATACAAACATTAAATATTCTGTAAGTAATACGAACACATATAAATTAGATAAACTACTGGAGTATAAAATTATTTATTAATGTATATAATAGTGTAGTTCTATAATAAATATTTTTTTAATGTGCATAATATTTATTTATAACAATTGTAATATACTTGCTTTATTAAATGCTTTCTAATATTTTTATTCAATGTATTGATATTATAAATTCTCTGTATATCATTCATTAATACATATATTACTATAGTAATGATTTAATTTTTGTTATTTATGTACATTTTAAACGGTCACTTTATAACACTTATATTATATACGTAGTTGTATAATTTTCATTTCATTCTTCATATATGAAATTTATACTCAAAACCTAATTATTATAGCTGAATATTTATTTTGAATATATTTACATATGAATACTATTATATATTGTTTCACTGAGTATTACGAGCATGTGTGTCAATGTTATTAATTGTTAAATATATAATATCAAATATTCTTTTCTTTAATTATACAAGTCTAAATGTGTATTAACATGTTCGGACTTTTATAAACATTACTAATGTATTAACCATAAACATACCTATTTTTTAAACTATTTAATTAAATACTAAATAATTAATAATTTATGCCTATTTAAAATTAATTTTTTCTATGATATGACTACACTTTGTGGGTATTTCACTACCCATATATTTCCTAAATTAATATTTCACTTGTTACATTATTCTAAAACAAAATTTTGTGCATTTTTTATAATTATATAATTTCTATATTATTTTGGTTTATATATTTTTTTTTAATTTCTTGTCACCAAAATATAATCTGTTAATTAGTTCTGATATTTAAAAGGACATGATTGTAATATATTATTTATGTAACTACATTTGTTAGTAATAGTCTACTACACTATAGGTTATTCTATTTTTTTTGTTAATTATATTATTGTACTTCATGTAAGATGAATCCATTAAATTGTGATATTCATTCTTTTTTTTTTTAAGCATTTCTTTAATCTTCTTTACATATGGATACAAAATTGTCCCATAAGTAGTGTACTGATAATAAAGAAACATTATCATATTTTAATGAATATATAATTAATTTAATATAAATTTTAGAATATAAAGTATAATATATTATGCAGTACATTATGAATTTAATAAATTAATTTTATATTTAACCTTATAGAGGATGAATATTAGTACCAACAATGTACAAGTAAAAACAGCCATCCCCGCACTTATGTCTGACGATTTGTTTGTTATTGGAAGTGTTTGTTGTTTTCCCCTTTCTTTAAGTGGGGCTTTTATGACTGCTTTTACTTTATCGAGTGTTATTATATTTCTATATTCAGTTTTGTATTCCGGTATTTTTTTCTTAATTTGATCTTGTTCTTGCTCTTGGTTCTGTGTTACTGATTCTATAGTAGGGGGAATTATTTTTTTAGATTTATTTTCGTATTCAGTTATTTCTATCATAATTTGATCATATTCGCTTTTATAATTATTTAAATAATCAATAAAACTAGTATTCTTCTTTATTTTTAACATACTAAAAAGCTCTTGATATTTCGTATTACACAGACTAGCAGAATTACGTGCCTCATGAATAGATTTATTACTATTATATCTTTTTAATATTTCAAAATTATCATATAGTTCTTCCATATATTTTATTATTTTATATGTATAATTATCAAAATCATTATGAACACTAGAAAATTTCATACATATATTAGAAATATCCATTCTATTAGGTTTCCTGGAATTTTTTTTTAACATTTCCATATAACAATTACTTGTTATTTTGCAATTAGTATTTTGACTATTCATTAGGTTTTTTAGTTTGTAGAAGAAATATATACAAGCTTCTTTTTCATTAATGCTTTGATTAATTTTTTTTTCTATACTATACAAATATAGACCAAGTACTTGGCATGTTTTAATAAAATTACTGATATGACATCCTCTAGGGCATGCAATATTTTGAAAGTCACTGCATACACTGGAAAGATTGTTACGTAAAGATACCATATAATGATTCCAATTAATGGAATTATAAAAATTCCTACAGTTTCGTAATATATTACTAAAATCAATCTAAAAATGAGAATTATTACATATAAAAAATGTTTTTTAAAAGTGAATATGGAAAAATATTTATTACATTTTATACTGAAAAATTAGCCTTATAAATTTAAATAATTTATACTTTAATTAAACAATATATATAACATACCTCACTATCCATTTTGTAGTGCCAGTCATAATGATTTGTGTAAGTTAATACAAAAAAATAATTATACTACTAATATAAGTTGTTGTGTTTTAAATGACTAAAAAAAATATTACATAAGAAATATATATAATAGTTATTAGAAAGATTATGTGTACAAAAAATTAAATGAAATATATGGATACTCATTATTTTTAAAGACTTATTGTAGTTCTACAAGTTTTGAATAGAAGGGACATATTTTAATATAATTATATTATATTAAAATACACTTATATACTGAGAAGTATATAAAAAAATAAAAAATATACACTAATAAGTAAGATAGTTCTATATATGATACCATATACTATAACATACATATTTGTTAATAATATTAAATAGAACATGTATTAAAAAATTATGTTATAGTATATACACTTATACTATTCTACACGTTTACTAGTGTAAAAATATATAAATGTAGTTAATTCAATACATGTTATTAATTTATGTTTGTAATTTCTTTTTAATATTACCGTTATTCTTATTTAAAAAATGGTACACGTTAAAATAATATATTTATAGAAATTAACAAGTTTTACATTTATATATGATATAGTATATCTATGATATATTTTTTCTTGTACAGAATTCAATGAGAATATATTATGAAATATAAGTTAACATTAATATGTCATATATACATAATATGCTACAATTGCGTAATATATAGACAATACTGGAATATAAAGAAAATATCATTTTCATATATTTATAAATACACAAGTAAATATTACATAACGAAACATAATTATAATTATTGAATACTTATTTTAATCTCATTATTTTACAATATTTTTTTATGAAATAATAAAGGTTTTTATTATCTTAATTTAGCAATAATTATAAACACACTCATTTTAGAATATAATGAATACATTTTTATTTATATGTTATTATTAAATATAAAAAGACTTTATATTAATATTGTTATTTTATTTATTTTTTGTGCAATATGTATATTATATATATCTATGATCAATACTAGTAACAAAAATTCACAAATATGAAATATAATAATAGTTATGATATATTTTCATTTTTATACTTAATGAAGAATATATGTATGAACATATTAATTGTTCATTGTACTTATAGTATAAAACATAATATATCGAAGCGATTATTTTTTACATTGATTAAATTTTTAATTACAATATAAAAGGATATATGTTTATTATCATACCTAATATATATAACGTTACAGGTATATAAATGTATTAGATATTTATATAAAATCTATTAAAAATGTTACAAAAAAAAATAATTTGTACATACTTTGTAAAAATTAAAATTTGTTAACATTTGTTATATATATATATTGTGAATATTTATCAATAAGAATTATATTTTCATAATAAAATCAATGAATTCATTTGTGCTTAAAATATAATATTACATATAATATATATTCCCTTACATGTATAAGAATAGTTAATTATAATAAAAATATTATATTTAGACTCATATTTATATACGCTTTTCTATATAATAATTATTTAATGTTTGACATAAATTTATTAATTAAATTTGAATTAATATAACATATACTGATGTTGCGTAGATATTTTATACATCAATTGTATTAGTTTATATAATATATATACAGTTATTGTGAGGGTACTATTTAAGAATACACATTTTATAAATTGTTAAGTCTTAAAAATATTTGCATTTAGTTTGTTAACTAATAATATAAGAACTCATTTGGTATTTATATCAATTTTATACAAATTAAATAATATATTTATTTCACAAAATTGTTTATATTTCAAAATAATGAATATTCTGTTTATTATAATAAGGCTTTGTATTGAATTCATAGACAAGATACGTCTTGTTAAATATTTTGATCATAAAAATTATTACGTATAATGAAAAAACCTAATTTTATCATTACATGCACATTATATTTTATTTATTAAATTCATAATGCCGGTATAGATTTATGCTAATTAAATATTATATAAATTCATATATATATATATATATATATAAAAGCAAAAATATATATAAACGAAAGCAATTTCAAGAAAAATGATTAAAAATATGCGACAATAAATATATAAAAATAATATGATAAATGATCATTCATTTCCAATATAATTACTATAAATTTGTGAATTATTTATAATATATATGCATAACTATTATATAAATAATAAGATACATGGAAGGAAATAAAAAAAAGTTATAAATTAATAATAAGGAGAATTATAATTCATTTCTTTAATTTTCTACTATGATTAATCGTATATAGAAAATATTATAATAGACTTATATTAAAAAAATTTTATTTAGCATAACATTAAATTATACATCAGTAATGTTGTTACATCCATAATGTTATGATATTTTATACAACATTTTTACAATTTTTATATAAATTTATCCTAACAAGTAATAATAAAAACATATTAACTCAATTAATAAAGCACTGGTTTCATTTTATTATTTTTTTACTTTCTTACACAAAGCTACAATGTATTAAGACACAAAGTATATGAAAAATATTATGTATTGATTTTATAAAAAAAAATAATAAGGTAAATTATTTCTACTTGTTAATATATAATCTGAATTATAATATAATATGCATTTATACACAGTGCTTGTATAATACATATAGAAATATCTTCTATATCTGAAGAAATAATCGACACAAATTAAAATATATTAAGCTGAGTATCATTTTTGATGTGTATTCCTTTATTTCCTTAGTTATATCATTTTAAATAAAACTATGATATATATCATCTTCATGTTAAAAACTTCTTTAAACATATTAAAATATCATATATATTACTTTGTTTAATATTTTATTTAATTAATGATTAATTTTGGTTAAGGTTTATTGTATAAATTTTTTAATGTATTAGTTCTTAATACTATTTTTTGATTAAGCACTTGTAAATATATTTGTATTATATAGAATATAATTACCATATATACATATATATGTAAATTTTATTAAAAGTTAATCTCTTTAATATTTCATTTAGTGATGCTTTGGGAAATTATATCTTTTTCTGTGCTCATGATATGTAACATATTTTTATCATTATTCAAAAGTGTTTATTAATAAATATTCAATTATATGACATTTTAATGTAAATTTCTATATTTCATTTTTATTTCGTTATAGTAAATTTGACTATCAAAAAATAGTTATGTACTCTTTATATAAAAGAATTATAATCATTTAATAAATATACTAAATTAATTTTAAAATTTTTATATGAACATATATTATAAAAATTATTTATGTTAAAAAATTTTCGTTTATGTAATTATATTTTATGTTGTATAATAAGACAATGGAAAGAAAAACACTTATAATCTCAATAGAATTATAAAAGACATGAAGATTTGGGTGAACTTCATTTTGTTCATGATGAATATCCAAATTTAGCAGTATATACAATAGTAACACCTAAATCCCTACATAAAATTTAATTATTTTTCCTGTTCCTATTTTTCCTCCTAAATTATTTCCTTGTTATTTAGTGCTATATTTAGTCTAATAACACTAGAGACATTACACAAACTACCAGAACTAAATTATTAACGTCTTTTTTTCTTAGAAATTTATTACTACTCTTAAAAGTTAACATTTCAGTTATAGTATGTGCCGTGTTCATTTTCTTAAATATATCCGTTTTATAATGAAGTGGATTTATTATTATTAGATTACCTTTCTTGTTTGGAATATTTACATTAATCATAATATAATGAATAGCTTCTAAAAAACTATGTATTTCCTTCTTAACAAGTATTTATACATATTTTAATGTTTATAATATTTTCCTTTAAAAAATAAAAAGGCATTATTATTTATTTCACTAATACTAAATTTATAAATGTCGCATTACAATAATAATACCACAAATTACAATTAATATGTTAATTTTTTAAACTATTAAATTTACATTATATTTTAAATATCTATAACATTTAACTCAGCATATATGATATCATATATATTATTTCGATTTTTAGCATGCTTTAATATTAACTTTTGTGGACTAACTAATGTGCAATGGAATGAAAATGAAATTATTTTATATAAGGCTTAATATATGTCCTCAGTTCATTTTTTTTCCTATTACAATATTGAAGTTTCTCTACTGATGTAATTTAAAAAGTGCAACGTATTATAACTAATAATATAAGAACACATAAATATCATTAAAAAAAGTATTTTTCATAGTATCTTTAATAAGAAAATAAAAACTTATACATTTATGGATATAATAATTTTGTCTATTATATGTTCACTATGTTTTTCCATTAGTATTGTGATAAAATAAAAAATATACATATGTATTCTTAAAATGTTGCAGATAGATATATTGATTTTCTTTTTATTATTGTTCTGAAATCCGTGACTAAATGTACTAAAAGGAGAGCAATGAGATTAGCATCCCAAGAAAAATTATATTAATTTATTCAATTTAACATAATATCATGAATAATGAATGTATACATGTTTATAAATAAAGAAAATAATAATATTTTTTACTCAATTTTAAAATAAAAATATAAAAAATATACTTATAATTTAGAAATATTAACATATTTTTTTATATAATATTTTTTTGATATTGTTTTTACATTTTTATGCCTTAATTTTTTATTTTTTTATGACTTTTTTATTTAATATAACACATACATATTATAAGTGCATCTCAATAAATAATATAATATAGTGTTAATATATATTATGTGTCAATTTTAATTAAAATTTCTTTTATAAATTAGTTCACACTTAAATATATATATATATACAATTGTATGTGCTTCTACATTTTCATAATATATTATAATGAACTAACGAATTTTTAGATTAGTATTAAATAACTAATTTCTTAAAATATATGATAAATAATGTGAAATAAAATATAATTAATCATAAGTATAATATATTTATAAAAATATTTTAATTTAAAGAAATAGGCATTCTTATAAAATTAACACACAAATAAATGAGTATGTTATCTCGCTTAGAAATTTTCTTGATATATTATATTTTTGTATCGCTATTAATGTGATATTTATGCATTATAATTATTTTTTCATTTTATCCTAACACAAATATAGATACTTATATTAATTCATATCTTCTTAACATTCAAAGAGTGTACATTATATTTACTTCCACAATAAATAGGCATAGAAATATTATACGTAAAAGATGTTATCCTTTAAAAATTTTATATTCGCATAAATAAAAAAAAATATATAAGTTATTTTAATGATTTATATTACGAAATAAATATTTTTCATATGTTTATATAATGCATTATTCTTGCTGCATACATAGATATTAACCAAGATTCTTTAATTAATATAATAAAAACAAGCCATAAATTAATTAATATATATATAAGATCCTACAAAAAAGTTAAATAAAAAAAAAAAAATTATTTATTTTCTAACGATCTATGTTAATTAACATATATATATTAACTTATCTGATGACTTGATTATTTTGCTTATTATAACATAATTAATATACACAAAATGTAAAAATACAGTTTATAGAAAAAAATATAATCACATAATATAGATTATCGAAAATATATATTTTTCGAATTGAATTATTTATAAAAATTGACATATTATAGGAATATTAATTTTAAAAATATTGATAAATAAATTCAAATAAATATAAATCCTGCAAAAATTTTTCTAATAATTTTGTAGTATAGGAATTATAAACACTTATACTAAATTTAATAGGTAAAAAAGTATATGATAATTAATTTGATGTGTATATCATTTAGAGAACTCATAAAATATTTATAAATTTGCGTAAAAGTAAATTTAATATGATTAGTTCAATTCATTAATTTTTAAGGAGTTTATGAAAACACCTAATAATAATGATTCCTATATATACATAACAATAAAATACACATTGTTTGTTTTTAAAATTTAGCTGTAATATAAATATATATCGTATGTTTTAATATAGATATATAACAATACATAAGGAATAATCACCAAAGCTTAACTCATTAAATATTTATGATGGTTATCACGATACTATTATGGGTTTTATATATTAATAAATTAAAACATGGATAATTATTTCTTTAATGTACTAAAATTATTATATAAATGTTATATTATTTTTCTTCTTTTATATTTTATTTATTATTTTTCTTTTATAGGCGAAACCCAATATATGGGTTAAAAAAGAGGATTTATTTAATGTATGGAATAATAAGAATATAACACAGGAGGATTTTGACCGCCATTCTAAATTACATGAACTGAAGGATGACGATAAAGAGTTATATAATATTGGCTATTCACTCGAGGAAAATTATGTTCATGCGAAAACGCTAAGAGACCAATATACTAATATGTGTGATTTACTAAATGAATGGTTAAATAATGAAATAGATAAATATAGAAGGAAAAGTACATTGTGTAGAAAAAATAGAATGTTGTTCAATTATATAGAGTCTGTATGGCAAGAAAAGCAAAACATACAAGTTGACGATGATAGAAATTGGTGTACGTGGAAGCGTCCTCATTATGATTGTGATGTTTCATTGCCAATATATGCTGATTTTTCTACTAAATCCAGAAGGAACACCATCTTTTCTGCTTGCTTTAGCCTTATAATAATAGTTGTTCTTAATTATTTTATTATATTTAATGTAATATATAAATTATTATAAAAAATAATGAATATATTCCAAATATTGATTAACCTAACATAACATTATAATTATTGATATATTTAATAATTTTGTTCTTTATATTTATATATTTTTTATATATAGTTTTCTAAAATAAAGAAGCTTTTATATAGTAAATATGACCTGATGAGGTTCATAAGGAAATATTCAGAAGATAGTCATCCGTATGGAAATAAAGAGGATTTTTCATTAACATCGGATAACAAGAGAGACAATATACTTTACTTATCTATGAACAGTGCTTAATTACAAATTTGTAAAAATATTATATATAATTTCCCTATATTATAATTCAAATGTATATTTCCAATATTATTTTATTGTAAAAAATAAAAATAAAAATGCTATAAGGAAAATAACAAGTTAAATTATGGTGTAATAAAACTATAAAATAAATGATAAAGAAAATTGAAATGAAGCAATGAAGTTATTACATATACATATATTATTATATTGCTGAAATAGTATGAATTACATATATCAGTATGCTTTTTAACAATTGAAACACAAATAAATTGTACATTATATTGTTCCTTAATTTTACCATAATCTGTTAATGTGGTTTACAATTCATATTGAAAATAGAGTTGTATCACATGTATAATTATAATGTAAAACTGATTTTATTAATCATTTATTAATGTTACAAATAAAATCCTTTTTCTGGTAGCTTTAATACAGGACTTCTTAATGTATGATATAACATTAGCATATATATACCTAAGCTAATTTATATATTATATGTAACAATGTTTTTAGAGAATACATATTAGAAATTTTTTTGAATTACTCAGAAAAACATTCATATTATTCAGATGAAAATTACATCTTATAATTTCTTTTATATTACTCTCTTTTTACAACAACTATTTGCAACAAAAAAACTAATATACATATAGAGCTAATGTGGAATATATTAGTACATTTATTTAACAAAACTGTAATATTACAAAGAAATAAGATATATAAAATAATATAATATATAAGGAAAAAAAAATAATTTTTTTTTTATATAAAAGAATGAGATGAATTATAATCCAAAAATTATGAATAAGTTATTTAATATGATCCACATGTATCAAAATTCAATATTTATTTTTCCGAATATATTTCACTCTTTACTACTTTATTTGTGCATAACCAGCTATAATATTTCTATTTTTATGTTCAGAAACTCCTCTATAACGTGATATATTTACATTGGATATATTACCTTAACTATGGGAAGAATGAAATATATTACGTTATCAGAGATATTTGTCATATATTCTTTTGTTGAACACAATCTCCATATGTTGCCTTCTGTAATATATGTTGAACATTACTTTGTTTAATTATTTCCTAGAATTTAATATAATTATAGAATTCAGAACACCCTTACAGACATAGCGCCCTTAATAAGACTGTTTATACCATATGTACAAATGATAATTATATGTTATTTTTTATATGCATTCTTATTGTAATTTAAAATAAAGGCATTTATTATAATTATAAATTCTTTAAAATAATGTACAATGTATTCCAATTGAACTAAATTTTTATCACATAAACTTCATTTATATTTATATTATTTTTACTAGCAATATTTCAAGAAGCAGATATAAATATATTAACAATAAAAAGTCACTAAAAATAAATTAAATATATAAAATACTCATTACATTATTTTTACACATTTAGTTTCGAAAAAAATGAAATCAAATAATTATTATATTTAGATCAAAAATTATAAAGCAAATTATTAATGAAATATGAATAACTAGTAAAAATTTAAAGATTTTAATGTATTCACAAATATAAAAAATTAAATTGTGATCATTATATTATTTAAAATGTTATATACGTAAAGATTAATAACCAAAAGATGCACAATTGTATAATTACATAAATATCAAAAAATATATTTCTTAAAGTTGCTTAATAGCGATTATAATTTATTTTGATGTAGTAACATAATTACAAATAAAAACAGTACGCATGCATATTGTAGTAAATATAGTGAAAATATATAATTATAGTTTTATTTTATTTTCCTAATCGATCTGTATATATGGAGAAAATATTATGTTATATATATATTATAAAAGTGCTATATTATAAAATTTAATATATTTAGAAAATAGCTATAAATTTATTTAAAAAAGAGCTTTTCTAATTATACTTTATTTCGTCATTTTATATTTTAGTATTTGATAAAATTTATGATTTTATGTATAATTATTGGTGAAAGTATAATAAGTAATATTCCAATGAATATAATATGTAATGAACTTAAATGTTATTTATATTTTTTAAAATACTTGTAATTATTATTATTCTAATGTATTAATTTAAACATAACATTTAATATATGTAAATACGTCTAAAATGTTGTAACGTCTACTGTTTACATTTATAGAATTAAGGTAAATAATAAATAGTTATGACATATATTTAACGAAATAAGATTTCATAAATACTGCATTTAAAATTATGACGTACAAAGTGTGTAATTTTTTACTGTTTCATTTGAGGGAAGTTTATATATTGCATGCATATATAATGAGCATGTAGTAATAAAATATGAATTAAAGTCAGATTATAAATATATATCAAATAATATTATGTAATATAAAACACACATAAATAGCAAAAAATTAATTTCAAATAAATATTATTTATTTATCTAAAAGAATTAACAAATATACCTTGTATATTTACTACAGTAAAAATATTTTATCTATAATAGTAGGCAATTATATAATTAATTGATATAACACAAAAAAATAAAATATATATATAAATTTAAAAGGTAATTTGTTCTTACATATACAACAATAAGGAAAATGTTTGAATTTTTTATATTCTAAAATTAATATTTTATTCCTATAATGTTAATATATTATCAAATGCTTATATTTTTGAATAAATAACACAATAATTCATTGCAAACACAGTAATTTCATGATAATAATATTTACATAGTAG